GCATTTTTTCCTGATAAATATAGATTATGAAGTAACTTCTAGTAGCTTACTTGAATTATTACGCAAAATATTTATTTTTATTTATTATTAGATGAAATTTGAGTATTTTAAATTTATTTGTACAAAAGAAAATTTTAATTTATTATAAAAATATATCATTTAATCTAAATAAAATTATTAATTTTCATAATTAATCTGTCAAATTCGTTATTATCATGCATCCAGATCTCGTGTTTAGTAAACTTTTCAGGATCTATTTCAAGTAAATGATATTTATTCAAAAAAATTGACTTAATTCTTTTTTTTACTTAGTTATTTATCTTCAAAAATTATATTAATATATCATGTCAAAACCTAATAGAAATTCAGTCAAAATTTAGGCTATATTCTTATTAGACTTTGACATGAAATATTGATGTGATTAATGTGACTGAATCTATGAGCGATTTAATACATAATGATATAATTTCATCGTCGAATCTTTTCTTTTTTTAACAATGAGAATGAAAAGACAACGTTATTAATTGAATTTGTTAAAATTTATGTTAAAAAAATCATAATAATTATTCATTTAATTTACTTCACTTACGTTAGTTACAAATTTAATTTATTAAATGAAATTATCATAAACTAATGAGTGTTATTTGGATCCATTTTATTTAAAAATAATTTTCTAAGCATTAATCGTTTAAAATGTATTTTAAACTGGAATAACAACATTCTTTCATAGTTTAAATATTCATGACGAAGCTTACTTCATATTTTTCTTCAAAAATGTTAACTTTAATCGCCTTTTTTTGTAACTTTATATTTTATAAATAACATTGTATATTAAGTTTTATTAACATCAATTAGGCATAATATTAATTTAATCAAATAGTAAAATGATTTATAAACACATTTGTAAAATTCTTTAAGTTTCAATATAAATTTTTACTTGCTTTACAATAATATTTTACTTTTAATCACAATTCATTTAATATATTTGTAAAAAAAAACAAGAGTAATATTGTTAATCAATGTTCATATTTTCAATGGATCGATTTCTTATTCTCTTATAAAATATGTTAATTAATTCGAAACTATTCGGACTTGCATGCGTGATAACAAAGGGTAATTTATGAATGTCACTTATGTCACAAGTGCTTTGGGAGATGAGAGGAGGAAGAAGAACTTTTCGATCGTAACCGAGAGACCCTCCGGGTGCAGCACTATGCCATACATCATGGCACCAGGTCTGCTTAGAGACGTGCAAATTATAGGTCATCTACGTATCCGACCAATTGCTTTAAGGGATCAGTTAAAATCCTATAAAACACACACACAATTCGAATTTTTGGACAGTTACATCTAACTTACAAAAATATATTTTTTAATAAGGGAAAAAAAGCACTCTCATTAGATTATTGTTGAAGACACTGTTAAAAATTGAGCAGTTTTTAACTTTGGAGATACGCTCAAAAAATGCCAAAATTTAAAGAATAGTGTGTTTTCTTTTGCTGAAAAGAATCGATCTAGATTCAAGTTTTATTTTTACTTTTCGCATATTATTTTTTTTTATCGTCTCATTTTATCAGATCATTTAGTTGGACAGTTGCAAAGTCTGCCAAAATATCTTGATATCTCAATCTCGGTACGATATTGACAGCCTTCGACACGCCTACTACTGATATATTGAGCTATCTGCAAAGGTGAGGAAGATCGCGCTTGAGATACTTCTTCAGTTAACACGTCGAACGTTATACTACTAATGGAAAAGCCCCTAGCAATAAGAAAAGAATAAATTGCATGTTTCGATAACAATGAATCTTGTATATCTCGAAATTTGTAACATAATAGGTCCACTATAGAATATTAGTCATATTGAATAAGGAAAATATTTTTGAATTATCGGTAAAATGCCGTATCTTTTGTAAAGATCTGGAATTTTTTTAGATCTGATTCTAATTTATTTTGTCCATTAAAATGCAAAAACAAGTTTGCTACATGATATTGGCAATGGTAAAACTATGTATCAGTTAAGCTTGTGTTTCATTTTCTAAAAATAATTTAAATAAATTAAAACAAAAATAGAATGATGTGATTCACTTATAAATTGGCCATCAAAAACTGACTGTTGTCATGGATTCTGTTGTTGGTTTAATTACTAATTTAAAAATTTTTGTCTTAAACAACCTGAAATTGCCATTTTTTGGGACCTGTAATATGTTAAATAATTACATTAAAATTAGACTAGAAACCAAGAGTAAGTTACTTATTGAATAGAGTCAATAGCAGTTCTTAAATTATGTTATTAATACTTTACAATAAATATAAAAGCTATTCAAAACTAAAACAAAATATACATTTTTTGTAATATCTTTCTAAACAAGAATAACAATTAATGCTTTAAAAGTCTATCTATTTTATTAATTAACAATAATATAATATTAATGGATACTTTTTACATTATTTTATAATTCTTTATAATAATTATTTAGCAATTTTTATTATAATCCTTTGTCTTCTTATCCATTAATGAATCAGATCATATTGTTGATAGTTAGATCTCAAATGATTCACTGCCATATCCAAGTATAACATAATGAGTACTAAACTAAAATATGATTGAAAATATAAAATTAAATCCAAATATTACAAAAATAGTATAAGATTGATTTTTGTGCTAATAATTAATTTATTTATATTGCAANTTAAATGAATAATAAATAGATGCATTTTAATTTTAAATTAGATCGATGAAAGCATTTTGATATTGCGATTTTACTAATTAAAGTTATCGTTCGATCCCATAGGCCTATATATTATATTGTTAATGGTAGGTCTGCACAAGTGTTTATTAAATCCTAAATTTCTGAAAGAATTGCTACTTTTTAATTCCAAATTTTAAAAATTCCTCAATGTGGAGATAATTTAGCATTAGCACAGAAATTTTTTCAAAGAGACACTCGCGACAGGTGACACTTAACAGGACGGGGTGTGGTCGTCGAGGTGTCATGGATGGCCCCTTAATTAAAAACCAACGCCTCTAATGACACTAATTCGCATAGATCGAGCATCTTTTGCCTGTCATAGGGGGCGACAATTGGCGCCTCGGCCCTTTCGGTCGGCTGGATCAAAGTACAAAAGACATGTGTTGGGAGAAGAAGAGACAAGAGCCTCACATGTTTTTCTTGAACGGCAACCAAGACTATTCATTTCACTAAAAATTCTTTCAGGCTGAAATCTGTTCAATTAGATGCGCTTCGAATTCTGAGAGTTGAAGCATTTGTTGTTGCTAGAAATTTAGTGATGATTGATGGCTATAAGATTTAGACTATGAGATCCCATCAATCATCGAATGTATTGGAACCACAGAAATATGACAACGACAGACTTTAGCACGATAAAATAGCGTTAACTGCAGTATCTAATTTTACTTTTCCTTATGAAAGATAGTAATTTATTAAAATAATATTAGGATAAAATGTCTAATTATTTCCATTAGCAATTAAGAAAGTTTTTAATGTTAAGTCTACTAGATATGGATTTAATAAACATTTTCAAGATGGATTTTATTTTAATTGTCGGTTAGATATTTGTATTTCTACTTCAAGTTATGTTTCTTTCTTTCTAAAAATATATGTAGAATCTAAGACTAGGGAAAATTATAAGTTATAATTAGAAAAACTGCGAGTTGTTTACGATGTATTTTCAATCACATCATGGTCTTAAATAAAATTAGAATATAGGATAATGCAATCGGTTCGTCTCAATCTAATGCAACTGAATTTAATATATAATTATATATATTTATTTCTTTAATTCTAATTATTTGAATTAATATTAATGCGTGACGTTGTAATTAGTTTTTAAAATTTCCAATAAGATCTAAAATTATGGGAGAATCGCTAATATCTACAATTTATGAAATAAACTTTTATATTCATAGGTTAAATAAACTTAATACATATACATTTTTACAGGATTATGTTGCAGTTTGATCCGGATGAACCTTGTATATCGTCATTTAGTATTATAAATGCATAAAATAAATAATTAAGATTACTTTTATGCATTTATACTTTTATCCTAGAGAACTTTTTAAATTAAAACAGTAAAAACTTATTTAAATATATTAAGATAAAATTATGAATTTATTCAATTATAAGAAAATAAAATTTTATTGTGTATTTTTTTTTTTCAAGGACTTTTTCGACAGCGGTGGCATTTAGCGCCGAGATCATCTGCAACAACATCCCCGGACTGACTAAGGTGCAAAGAAAAATGTGCCACATCCGGCCGGATACTATCGTGGCTATCGGCGATGGCGTAAGAATGGGCGTGGTCGAATGCCAAAGGCAATTCAGGCATCGTAGATGGAATTGTACCAACATAGGAAGTGACGCCGTCTTTGGTCACGTGATCGTCGTGGGTAAATTTTACGCCATAACTATTTCATTCAATTTTTTAAAATATATTCTATTTAATTATAATTTTCATTTAAATTACGCAAACGATATAATTTTATTTGTATAATCTGTAAATAAATGGTATGTTAATAAATTAAGTAAACAAATTAAGATAGAATAACTTCTAAGTCAATCTTATATCATTTCATTTTTAATACTTTGAACTTTAAAAATTTGGGTTTGTTTCGGTCACCGAGTAATCCGAACAGCATTAAAAAATGTAAAATCTTCTATCAAAAACTTAAACTTTTACCTCTATTTTCAGAAAATTTAAGCAAAAACAAGTCTTAAATTTTCTGAAAATAGAGGTAAAAGTTTAAGTTTTTAATAGAAGATTTTACATTTTTTGATGTTGTTCGGATTACTCGGTGACCGAAACGATTTTTAATTCAATTTTCACGTTTATTCTACTTATTAATACGATTCTAAGTGATTTGTTAATAGTTTTACCATCAAATATGGTTCGATATAACTATATCGAACCATATTTGTGTGGTAAAACGTCGAGAAAAAGTCACAAAATCCATTACGCTTCAATGAAAAGATTAGAAATTCTATTTCTATTACTTAACTTATATAATTATTTCACTTACTGTACAGTACATATTTTTTAAAAATTATTCAGTTTCAGTTCAGATTTTATTTGTCTAATTTTAAACCACTTACACTTGAATTATGTAACGATACAAGCAAGTAAGTATACATGTAACTGTGCTTGTTGATTTGAAGATCTTACTTGTAGCAAGAAACATCTAGTGTAACTGAATATTTAAAAGATTTAATACAAGTAATTGATAAGGCTGTGATGTAACGTAGGCCTATCTTACAGAAATGATTCATAGATATATTATAGATCTGTATTTGCTAAATCTATAGGCTAAGAGTCTGTCTCATTTAACAACGAGTAAATTAGATAAAATTTTCAGTTAGAATTAAATTCGATTCTATAAGTAATAATATTGCAAAGATTTCGTGAGTATTTTACCAATAAGAGGAAGCTTAAAAGGATAATAAAAAACAGTGATCCAGACTTATTTTAATATTATTTCTTATATGTTTTAGTTATGTAACATTTTATATAGGATCTATCGTATAAATCTATTATTATTATTTTTATAATAAAAGAAGCTTATGTTATTATGTTTGCATTCAGTATCGCAACTAGCTTTTCATTTGCCCTGTGCAAAATTTTATTTTCCAGCCCTTTTATTTTTGGGGGAAATAGTTATAAAACGATTGTGTATAAATAATTTTTCTGTGCACAAGAAATATACAAGAGCATTCACACATCTTTACAAACGAGAATTTATTATAGAACACTCGGAAATTTTTTGTCAGTTCCATTTCGAGGCCCCCTTTGTTCCCGGCCCTGTGCCTGCGCATCCGTTTCCCCTGCCTAGTTAGGCACCGTTTACATTAATTCTGTAATTATGTTCTTATAATAATAAAACTTGAATAGAATATGTTTAAATCAGCATAAAAACATAAGTCGATAAAAAAAAATTTTTATGAATATCTAACGTATGGCATTGGTTTGATCAGGATATCTTCTCAGTTAATTAAGCAATGAGTGGGGGTTATTTACAGGAACTATGCACAGAGAGAAGAGCTTCGTGCTTTTGTCTCATAAATCTGATATGGAGCATCTCGGTCATTCTCTTGGTACACCGCCCGCGATTAGACTTATCTAGGACAAGACATAAGTCACCTCCGACTTGCTAAACGGGCAGAGTGCTGGTGGCATCCAGCGACTCTATCTGATGGCGAGAAGCAATTCGGCCAGCGGGGTGTTAACGATGTGTCCACTACCTTCGGCGCTACGTTCTGGAATTTTCAAACTCGAAAGAAATTCGTTCGGCATCGGTCTAAGCGGTGGCCACAGTTGTAGAATGTGCTTCGAACGTCTAGTGCCTGCGAGGCCTGTCAGATGTAAGTTATTAAGAAGATCGAGGCATCACTCAAATTGGGGAAATAGCACGAGTTCCTTCTGATTAAACTGCGCTTCAATAAATCACCAATAAGGAAAACAGGTTTTAAACATTTTGACGAGCTATGAAATTTATCATGCACAGATGTAAAGCTATAAATTACAGCATCGAATGTATCATTCATACGCAACCACTCGTTTATTCTAAATTTGTTTGTAAATGGAAAATTTATGTTTGTACAATAATTATACCAAGTGTAAACGAATGTATTGAACAAGTTTTTGAAAATTTAGTAATTGTAATCGAAACAAAACTAAATACAAAACAATCATTTTTTAAACGTAATACCAGTATATATACTTATACAAACTTTTATTATATTTTCTAAATTTTAACAATAAATTAATATCCTATTTTATTATTTAGGTGGAAAAATTCTTAATAAATATTTTTTTTAAAAATTTCCATCAGATAAAGAAAATAGAAAAGTAATCAATCGTGTCATCAGAATACCCATTGGTTCTAACTAATGATATCAGATAAGTGATGTTAAACAAATAATAAATGAGTTATCCTATTTAAGAAGTAGGCCTAGTATCTTCGGGCTGTTTATAAAGAAATTATAAATGATCAGTACTAAATAATCAACTCATTATGAAAATTAATTATATTGTGTAGGTCGGTTTACTCGAGTTTGTTCTGTTATTGAATATAATGCCGCTTATTTAAACAGCTAATCATTTTCGAATTTTTAATATAATTAAAATATTAAACTCAAATTTTTCTGATAAATTATAACTTAGGGTCATAAAATTAAAGAATATTTTTAAAAAATTTCAGGGAATTTTTTGTATTTGTTTTAAAGAAGTGGTGTTGAAACTTTTTGCTTTTTTATTGAAAGGCCTTAAGGTAGAAATGTATTTTGGAGAGCATTCAAGTATTATATTAGTAGTCTATGGGAAGAGGGATTCATTTGTATCTGACGATTGTTGACGGCAAGGGAGTGAAGGTGTCTTTGATGACGTAAAATTGCACCCAACATTTTTTTTCTCTTCAGTCATCACAAAATTCTCTGAAAATAATTCCTGTGTATTTGCGAATAGTTTTAACTTCTGGACGGATGACATAATTAGGATACGTTGATTTATAATGACCGGTAATGTTAGAAAGGAGGAATCAAAAAAGGACAAATTTTTGTTGATAAGATACTTCAACGACTTGTTAAATAAAGGTTCAGAAGTTGTCTCCTGGTGTCGTGTTTATTCTATAAAAAAGGGAAAAACGGATAAACAATAGTGTTGAGAATTACAACATATTAAATTCAAGATTATCCTCCATCTTTCCTTGCGGAGTATATCATAATCAAAAATTTCTCCCTCGCTTCTTAGTTTTTATATAAAAATATTATCATTCGTCTTCAAATGAAATAAGTTGTAAAAGGAACAATAATAATGCTTACATTTCTTCTAGTTATGAGTCATTTTGAGTAGCTCCTCCTTTGCAGATAAAAGATAATGTCTTCTTCAAGTGACAAACTGCAACAAGTGTGTTGACGGTTTTATAACCTAAGAATTCTCCTATTAACAATAGGAACTTAATGCTAATTTAATGTTATTCCTAAATTTATTGTTCATCGGAAAAGGTAACAGTCTAAATACATTAGTCATTTTTTATTTATTATGCGCATTTTTATATCATAAATATTAAAATTTAATTGATTCATTTAAAATCGTTAACATCAATTTGAAAAATATAATTTTAAAGAATATTTTGAAGTTAGTAAATACAAAAATTAATTAATTTAATAATTATTAAATAAATTTATTATTATTTTAAAGAATCTTTATGAAAATAATTTTTAAATACGTAAAGCATGCGATTTAGAAGATGAAAATCGGCTTAAGGCAATTTTTATGGCGGTGGTCTAAGGCATCATTGTGATTCTATGACATTTAAACTACAAGAATGTTATACTCTTTCATTTACAAGTTAGAATATGCAGATTTTAATTGAAACGAAAGACCTTATGGGAGTTTTTCAATTTAGAAGTCTAATCGGTCCGGGTGGTCTCGATCATTCGGTAAACTGAAAGAGAAATGATCGTCCTCAAGAAATTATTCAGGAGGATCCAAAATGGGCGCACCTCATTCTCACACAAACAGTTCTCTTCTAGGCTTATACGAAGTGGGTCTTTGAATCTAATGAAAGGTTGAAAAGAGAAAGCGAAAGGCATATAAGGCCGAGAATGTAGGTTTAATATATAAAATAAGTGTACACATGAACATTCATGACTTCCTGATATTTGACTTTTGATCTTTGGCCTCACTCCATCTCTGTCAGAACAATAATTATTACTTTAAAGAAATTATCGGGGTAGATAATAGTATTTAGATACAGAGTAGTCCGTATTTGGCCAGACTGCAATTGATGGGGTGGTGCGGCACCTCCTAGAGTTTCCTTTTTTTCAATGGCATAGAATAGATTACAAATAAACGTAAAACTCGATTTAAAAATTCCAAAAGAAAACTGATTTATTATTAACTTTTTAACCCATAACAGCAGAATTTCAAAGGGAGTCGCGCCAATTTTGACTGAATTTATTTAGGACAGTGTTCAATAATTTGAGGCTTCGAAAGTGGTCGAGGAATATCGTTAAAAATAAAGATAAAAATATTTAAATTTCTTTATTTAGGATTCATATTAAAGAATAAGAAGGAATAATTAATCAATTTAATTAGGCATAAAGCAAGTTTTATAATCCTATACATAAGGTTTCTAATCTGTCTCTTCTTGTAGCCTATTAGAACTTGGTATTAATATTATATTAATATTATATATTAATTTTATTTACTATAATGTAATTTCACAGGAACGAATGTTGAATAAAACTAAAACAGTAATTAAAATAACCATTTACTCGACTTTAATTTATTGTCCTAAGCCAGATGTATTAGAAAAAGAAGTTCTATAATACAATTCATAATTTTAACAGTTTAATCTATGTAAAAAAATCATATATGTGTTGTTAATTATAC